ACATAAGAGTTCTCATGTTTCAAAACAAGAGCTGAAAACTTCAATATAATTATTAGAAGCTCTATTCCATCTTTAAGCGAAAGTTTTTTTTTGGTGGGGGGTAATTTCGCTTTCAACTTAAATACATTCTTATTGTTAAAGAGTCTAATAGTGTTATAAGGAAACTGTCCAAATCGTTTAACAGTATGGAATAATTGTCCATACCACAAAATATTTAATATCTAAAAACAACACTAAAGTAATTGAGTTTCTTTCTTTCAGGTTTTCAGTTAAGACGTGTAGCCATCATGACGCCATTTGTCGTAAGAATCAGCGAAAAACCCTTTGAGTTATTCCGCTAGAAAGAGAGCAGGTTAAAAAGGTTAAAAAGGTTTTATGCCAGCCCTGCGGAGGAATGATGAGAGAAAAATGATCGTTCAGGCCTTCAGTAATGGTACCAACATTCATAGTCTGGTTTCCATCTTCAAAGTCCAATCAAGAACCATCAAGAGAACGCTGAATAAGTTTTAAAAAGAGGGAACAGTAGAGAGGAAAACTGGATCAGGAGGTCACAACAGCAAGTGGGATCCCCATTTCAATTTAGAGTTAAAGAGATTAATTAGAAAAGATCCAATTCAATTCATAAGACGTTTGGCACGCGATAGAGGAGTTTTAACTATGATATTCCAAAGAGCAGTGAAAAAAGACTTGAAAATGAAATCGTATGTGTAACCTGTGAGTCATCTTGTTACTTTAGGACAGGAAGTTAAAAGGTTAAAGAGGGTGAGATCATCTTGAATAAGATCCTGAAATAATATATATATATATATATATATATATATATATATATATATATATATGTAATTGAACTTTATTTCAATCCATCATGAGATTAATCTTTTAAGATTGAAGAGTAATTATACATTCTTATTGCTCAAAGTAAACTCAGTCTAATAGTTTTATAAAAACCTGGAAATTCCAGTAAAATGTATTTAATAATTTATAAAATACAAGGGTTATAAGCTTAATCTAACAAGTCGACAAACATTGCCTTTACTCGAGTTGGACAATTTTACTGTTACACCAGGTGTATATATATATATATATATATATATATATATATATATATAAGGTATATAGGTATATTTAGACACCAAGTATTTACCCAAACAAGTTTGCTTAAAAAGTACCGACAAAGTCAGTCTGTTTCATTTTTTTATTATTATATAACGTATTGAGTATTGTGCTGGAATTTATGGATAAACTGTCAAAAGTTCATATTTTGTTATTTTCTTTCGACTTTCGCAATCATTATCAAAAACCGATGTGTTGTCTGTGGGGTAGTTAGTATTCCTTTGCCTAAATTCTGGTAGTTTTTGGAAAGTTACATGTTTGAAATGGTCAAGCGTGACGTCTTGTGTGACGGCTATTCGGAATGAGTCCGCACACAAAGAATGCGATTTATTTATCTTATTTCTTTTTATTAACTAATTAATTATTTTGTAATACTAATATAAAATGCACATCAAGATAGCATCTCCTCTGGCAAATGATATTTTATTTAATGTAAGCTGTTTATTTTGCATAATATTAGCTTCAAGAGTTTTGAATCTTTCCTTGCATAATCAACTAATAATATTTGTCTAATGCTGATCGCTGCATTTTTTCCATTCATGATGCGTTGGTCGATGTGTACACAGATTACACTCACTTTCGACAGGTGACAGGTCAGTCTGCGAGAGAGTGTGGTGCAGGTGTGCCCGATGTAAGGTTTTTATACAATTTCGCATGCAATCTTATAATATTTGTTTTCTTTTCGGAGGATAAATTATATAAATACTGCCAAATTGTTCTTTCTTTCCAAGCGCTTTCGGCTATACATTTAGCCATTTTCAAGGGTGAAATATACTAACTGTTAACAAGAAACAGATTGTTGTATATATATATATTTATATAATGTCTTCATTTTCAAAACACGGTCAAGATATTGTGTCCATGTTCATAGTTGATATTATTGAGTGTTGCTTTTCTATTATTTTTACCCTTTTTTACATGTAGACGATGCTATTATATTTGTGTTATCTGTTATGCTGAAACACACCTATTCTATAGTTAATAGACTCTCCCACCTAATATAAGTAGGAGTAGTAAGAGAAACGAGTCGATGTCGGACGACAGTAGTCGACAGTTAGTCGAATACGAAAATAGTCAGCGACCACAACAAGATTACTCTGCGTAATACCTATTATATCAAGTTCCTAACGTTTTGTACGTCGAACCTATTTAGGACTGATTTAGTACAAATACAAGCCTCCACTGCGAAATAACTCCACAACAACTTTGGCGACGAGGATTCGCACTTATACGGAGGAAGAAAAAATTCGCTCGCCACAATAACTTCGGCGTCAAAGTCTCGGATTCACACTAAAAAAAAAAAAAACTTGGCAAAGTTTTTCGCAAACCGAGACGTCAACTTAGTGACGAAAAAATTTGTCGTATTCTCAACTGAGAAAAGAAATAT